AGAAACAACGAATAAGTGATAATTACTATAGAATATTTTATATGAAAATATATTATTTTCTTTTTAATAAGACTAACTACTAATTTTTTTATCCACGACAAACACATGATTAAAATATTAAAAAACAAAAATTAATTATTTTTTTAATACACGGGAGAAAGTAAAAAAAAACAAAAATCAAATGATATATATCTCGCATATTTTATCTTAAAAAAATTAATTTGCATGAAACTTAGTAAATGTATATAATTTTTGAAAAAATACCACTTTTCAAAATTAATCAAAAATACTATCAATTAGATTTTTTTTCAAAAGTATCACTAATCCTCTATATATTATTGAGTAGATATTTGGTGAAAAATTGATATGTGTTATTCAATAAGGTTTTTAAGGAACATGTCATTTAAATTAACCAATGAAAATATATCAATTAAAACTAAATGCCATGGTAAAAATTTACATATTTTTATTAATTTGATAACATAAATCCATCAATACATGTTCTACAGATTTAAATTTAACAAAATGTAATATTTAGACTTACAATATATTTTTGAAATTGATATATTAAGAAGTTTTTCATTATTATATTTGTAACAACATTATTTATTTGTAGATAATAACTACACTTACAAATATGTTTACATTTTATTATTAAAAACATATATTTTTTGTTTGTCATGTCCGACAAATTCATATAAATCTAAAAATTCATTTGATTTATTGCATATTCTATAATTTACACATCATAAAAATTTATTTACATTTCAAATTGATTGATATAAATAACATTTGTATTAGTTTTAATATTTTTATGCTAAATTGATTAGAGCATATGATATCAAAATTGTTTGATCAAAATTTAACTTGATTACATTTATGCACCATATATATCATTTTATAGGATTATAAATATTATAATACACGTCTAAATATTAAGATTAGTTAGAACACATATTAAAATATTTAATACTAGTCAAAATTTAGTACATGGGATTTAACTAACAAATTAAGTAAGAACTGTGAGGGAAAGAAATAAATTATATTATGTTTTATATCTAAAAAAACTAAGTTAACTCTCACTTTTTTGTTCTCCCGATCCTTAGGTTCAACTGTCACGCTTCCGGTACGTGGCTTATCGATCAGGAAATGCCAAAGATACTGAGCCCACCTCACAAGTCACGTCTCCATTCTCCAACATTTCTTTCTCAATATTATCCTTCAAATTTGTTACAATCACGAACAAAAAAAAGAAAGAAGAATTTATTACAATCACGGTATGGGTCAAGCCCTCAATACCGGTACGTTCTTTCGCTTTCCCTCCCCCAAAATTACGTTATTTTCATTGAAGTTCATTTATTATATATATCTTCTCTTAATTATAAAATACTAATGTTTTTTTTGTTGTTGTTGGTATTGATTTATACTTGGAACGAAGCAAAGGGCAATTTAGAGATCAAGGGGAAAGACTTGGAAGCTATGGCTGAGAATTGTTACCTCAAACGCTTTGAAGAAAAAACTGACGATCACGAATGGTCTTTCGGCGATTTCTACCGCATTGTGGCTGAAGCTGTCGAGTAAATATTTAGTTTCATCTTAATTTTATTTACTTTACATATATCACGATTATGTTAATTAGTTTGGTTATCTATTTAACCAGAGGCTTAAAACAATTTATGAAACCAATAGAAAATCAAAAACAATTAGATTCGGTTATTCAACCATTTTCAATTTCCACTTTTCTCCCTGAAATTTGAGTTTGGGGACGAATTATTTAATTTTGCTACGGTCGGTTTGCAGTCAATCGCTATATAAAATTTTCAAGTCACAAGAATCTAGACAAATAGTCGGTGTCAGGATATATATTTTGATTATGATATGATATTTACATGTGATTATACCTATTTATTCGTTTTATATTCCGTGTGATAGAGAAATCAATAGAAGACTCGGTGGTACGCAAATTAAGGTGCCAAGTGTTGATAAATTACAAGAAGCCTATGAGGTGAAAAGTCTTCTGATTTCTTATCCTTATATACTTTTATTAACGTAAATTAGGTCTCGACGCGGATCGGATATCCAAAAAAATACAGTATTTATGATTTAATTTGTTTTTGACGGATATCTAGTTTTCTGATTTATTTTGATTTAAAAAATTTCGGATATTCGGGATGACAGATATCCGATTTTTTTTCTGGATATTTGCGGATATCCGAATCTTCGCGGATATATGTTCTAAACAATTTTTTTTAAAACATCGTAATATTTTTTCCAAAAAAAATTTTATTATAAAATTTAAACTAATTAATCAATAAATATATAAAATTAGTCTAAATTTATTCGATAAATTGTTTGAAAAATGAAAAATAAAAAATTAAAATGGTGAAAAATAAAATATATATTTTTTATTTGAGAAATATATTTTAAATAAAATTAGTATCTATCTATTTTTACTATAAATATATTCGCCAAATATATTTAAAAATAAAAAAATGTAAATATATGACTATAGATCTACCATAATTTTTTTTTTTCGACTCTATTAACAATATATATAAATGTATTATATATATATATATCTTTTTATTTATTTAAGATATATTATCGTGTATAAGTTTTTATGAATTTTATATTTATATATATATATATTTTTTTTTTATTGTTTTTTGGTCGACAATTTTAATAAGGAGATATTACAAAAATGCCACTTTTTATGCACATATTTGCAAAAATGCTACTTAGGGGTGTTCATTTACAAAAATACTACT